AAAGAGAGAGAAAGAAAGAAAGAAAGAAAGAAAGAAAGAAAGAAAGAAAGAAAGAAAGAAAGAAAGAAAGAAAGAAAGAAAGAAAGAAAGAAAGAAAGAAAGAAAGAAAGAAAGAAAGAAAGAAAGAAAGAAAGAAAGAGAAAGAAAGAAAGAAAGAAAGAAAGAAAGAAAGAAAGAAAGAAAGAAAGAAAGAAAACCACCTCAGTTGAAGACAAGCAGAGGACCTGCAGAGACAAACGGCTGGCAGGGATCTGCAAACGTGCTCGACACTGCTGGTCATCAGCGAGCTGCCAACGAGAAACAGCGCAGCATCCACACCTGTGAGCATAGCTACCACCGGAAGGAAGGAGAGCGTTCGTGAGGGTGTAGGGAGGAGAGGACCCTGGAATGTAAACCACACAGCCATTGTGGAAACAAGCACAGCAGGTCCTCAGAAACAGAAAACTACAACTACCCTAGCGGCGGTCCAGCGATCCCACTTCCAGGCACAGGCCCAAAGGAAATGGGGTCGCGGTGCGATGCTGAAGAGGTCTGCACACCCGCGTTCGCTGCGGCACTGTCCACACAGCAAGGCAGAGAAGACCAAGTGATCATCAACGGCGGATAAGTGGAGAAAAAGGTGTCGCCAGTCTTTAAAGAGAAGGGAAGCCTATCACTTGCAGCAGCGTGGATGAATCTAGAGGACAGGGCAGTAAGTGATATAAGCCAGACACAGACAGATAAACACACAGCCTCCTTCCATGGAGAACGTAGAGAAGAGGAACTTGGAGTAGAATAGAGCATGGTAGTTCCAGAGGCTGGGATGGAGCGAGCAGGTGGGAAGCAGGAGGAGAAGCTGGGCACAAGATACACAATTTTAGTCAAAGAGGAGCAACAAGGTTCAAGAGCTGTATTTTACAGTATAGTGGTTGTGATCAATAGCACTGCACTGTATCTCTGAAAAATCACTATAAACGTTACCACCACGACACAATATATGCAGTGAGCAGTTATGTTAAGCAGCTTGATACATTCCAGTGTATGCTATTTCAAGACATCACCACGATACATGTAAGCTGCACCTGTCATTTAAAAGATAAAGCATGTTCCAAACAAAGAGTTATAAGCTATTATTTCTTGTTGTCATACCTGTACGATGATCTCAACTTCAAAACCGAGAATTATATCTGACAATGAATCAGAATATGGAGAGATAGTCAGGCTTGGAAAATCTAAGAGATACAGTTTTCATGGTTACTTTCAAACTGTCACACGAGACAGTCATACTACCATAGAATAGATGATATTAAAAATCCAAAAACTATTTGCCCAAATCACAAAGCAAATCTGCGGCAGATCTAAAAGTTCTATTTATGGTGCTCTTGGCATTTGGACAAAGAAAGACTTGAGGATCTAACTGGAACTACCACACGAACTAAACACACATTAACACAAGGCTTTACATAATTCAAGAGCAAGATGCCTGATGCCTGGCTAAGCCAACAGGAGTGGAGAGGAAACATCAATACTGAGCAAAGGGCAGGCAGCGCAGGC